TTTACTGACTGTAGGACTTCTAGCACCAACCTGAGTTCAGTCCACTGATTGACCCCTAACCCCAGACTGTAAGAGTCCGATCTGCCCCACTGCACCTTGGGAGATGAAGTTCTTCTCGAACTTGGTGAGGAACTCCAGGTAGAGCAGGTCATCGGCTGTCAGAGCCTCCTCTCCCACCACCGCCTTCATGGCCTGGACGTCCTTCCCTATGGCATAACACGCATACTGCACACACACAGGTCAGGCTTTCACTTTGACACCAAAGAGTGGTTTCGCTTAAATTCTTAAAATTAAAATCAGGTCTGAACCCACCAGCTGGTTGGAAACATCAGAATGGTCTCTGCGGGTCATCCCCTCTCCGATGGCCGACTTCATGAGTCGAGAGAGAGACGGCAGCACGTTGATGGGAGGATAGATCTGTCAACGGTAGAAGATGGACTGATTTAAGAGGATCCATTAGAAACAAGAATCTAAACTGACAGCAGCTCCATGTAACGAACAGTTTATGTAGTAAAACACTCGTATGGATGGTCCTGCTGCTCGATGCTGCAGGGATTCAATAAACTCAGAGGAAATAACAGCTGGAAGCAACAAACATCAGCTCATGTTCATATGGTAAAATGCAGTAAAATTGTTTTAGCAGTTTATTAGTAGTTGTGGCCATCACTTGGACTAACAAGTCCCAAGTCAGCTCAGGATAACCGAGTCTCAAATTAAAAATTAGGTCGAGAGAAACAAGTCCAGAGACAAGTTCAGTAGTTGTCAAAGTCAATCTGACGCGTGTGCAAGTCACACACCTGCAGAACACAACACTGGTGTCTTATAGGTGAAAACATTACATTAACACGGTGAATACACCTGTCAGAGTCTTTCCTCACCTGTCTGAGTCTCCTTATTACCTGTCAGAGTCTCTTTATCCCCTTTCTGATACCCTTTATCACCTAAGTCTCTTCAATACCTGTCCAAGTCTGTTCTCACCTGAGTCTCTTCATCACCTGTCCAAGTCTCCTTATCAAATGTCCAAGTCTCTTTTAACCTGTCTAAGTCTCTCCCCACCTGTCCAAGTCTTTCTTTACCTGTGTGACTCGCCCCTCACCTGTCTGTTGTGCAGCTGTCTGTCCACGTAGATCTGTCCCTCTGTGATGTACCCGGTCAGGTCAGGAATGGGATGCGTGATGTCTGCAGACAGAGAACAGGGTTAGAACCCGGCCGGTTCTCCAGAACCCGACTTGGACCCTGACGGAGCGTACCGTCGTTGGGCATGGTGAGGATGGGGATCTGGGTGATGGAGCCGCTGCGACCCTCCACCCTGCCGGCTCTCTCGTAGATGGTGGCCAGGTCGGTGTACATGTAGCCGGGGAAGCCTCGGCGGCCCGGCACCTCCTCTCTGGCCGCAGACACCTGAGCGGGACAGGAAGTACACTGTCTGTTTCCTGCTGCGACTTCACAATAAAAGCAGTGGTCGTGAGGCTGACCTCTCTCAGAGCTTCAGCGTAAGAGCTCATGTCGGTGAGGATCACCAGGACGTGCTTCTCACACTGATAGGCCAGGTACTCGGCTGACGTCAGGGCCAGGCGCGGCGTGATGATGCGCTCGATCCTGCAACGAGGACGACACGGTCACCTCCACCCACACATCCGAGTCAGGANAGACACACAACAGACACACAACAGACACACACATGAATCCACCGGAAGCTGGTTCCTGTTTTAATGTTTCTGCATATTTAATGATCTCCTCTGACAGCTGATCCATGAAGCTGATCAGCTTCTACATTGATCACTGATCACTGATCACTGACAGTAGGACCAGCAGAACCAACAGACCCGGCCGGACCGGCAGAACCGGTACCGGTAGAACCAGCAGACCCGACCGGACCGGCAGAACCGGTACCGGCAGAAGCGGACTCACTGAGGCGGGGCTGGGAGATGTAGTCCCGGGTCACGGCCATCACCTGCTCCCGGGAGGCGGCGGAGGTCGGAGCGGCGGCCGCCGGCCTGCTGCCGCTGACGGCGGACGACAGCTCGTTCATGGCTCCGTTCATCATCCCGCGGAGCGCCTTCATCGCCATGTTTCACCGCAGAACCGCAGAACCGAGTCGTGACCGCCGGGCGCATGCGCAGTGAGGGGCAGCTGCATGAGAGGAGGAGGAGGAGGAGGAGGAGGAAGAAGATATAATAAAGAAAATAAAGAGATTAAAACAACAACATAAAGAGCTCACACCGCTGATAACAGGAATGAGTCTCCATGTTTTAGAAATAAAAACGTGTCCCAGCTGTTACCAGGTTACTTATTATTAATAATATATGTTTATTTATTTATTTACACCAATAAAAAGGTTTGAAAAATAAAATAAAATTCAAGATTACTGTTTTTTCCAGTTGGGAAAAAAAAACACATATATTTCTATTTTTTAAAAAGTTAATCAGGATTCAAAAAGAATAAATAAAATAAATAAATTTCCTCCAGACTGTGTAAAAACAAACAAACAAACAAACAAAATAGATCAGGTCTTATTAAAAGTGATTAAATTTCAATTAACAAAAAACATTAATAAAAGTTATCTGTGATTTAGAAATAAATAAATTCCTCCCTTTGGGGAAAAAGTAAAACTTGAATTAAAAATAAAAAAGATCTCCACTGAATTCTGTATTTGTATTTTTTAACTGTTGTTCAAACAGAAATAAAACAAAAACCTGCTGAAGGACTTGAACGCCTCATTTAGTGACAGTTTGAGTGTTTTTCTCTGAAGGAGGAACAAGAAAGTTTTTTATTATTAATGTGTTTTATGAACGTTTCCTGTGAGTTTATTAAACAGACGTTCAGTCAACAAAGACGTCAAACAGAGAAAAGCTGCAAATCATGACTTTAATCGACTTTTTATTTAAATCTGCAAAAACCAAAGTAGTGAAACGATCAGAGTCCAGCTGGTCCATCGTCTCCTGGTCCTGGTCGGACCCGATTCCCCCAACTGAAGGTTCTGGTTTCTGACTGACTCAGAAACACGTCGCTCTCATGAACTGGTTTCATGTCTTCAGTCTTTTATTGAACACTGATCTGATCAGCTGATCAGGTTGTTATTGATGGATCGGATCAGCTGATCAGGTTGTTATTGAACAGCGATCTGATCAGTTGATCAGTGAAACAGCAAAAACTGAGCAGCAGCGACGTTCAGGAAACTAACTTAAAACGTTCTGGTTCCGTCGCTGGAACGTTCTCTTTACGTTCTCACAGGCGCCTCAGTGGTCGTAGCCGTTGGTTCTGTGTCTGTTCTGGGTCCTGTGCCTGACTTGGGGCTCCCAGAACTCCTGAGGTTCTGCCGACTCGTGGCTCCAGCGGGGGGAGTACCGGGGCAGGGNTGTTTGCACCTCGTTGTGCGGCAGCCCTGCAGCAGAGAAGATGGGTATCTTCTGTCCTCTGGCGATGCTGTTCATCCCGTCGATGGCAGAGATGCCGGTCTGGATCATCTCCTCGGGGTAGATACGACACTGAGGGTTTATAGGCTGACCTGAACACACACAGACACATAAGTCGGCAGCATAGGAGGAGATATTTACACAGACGTGTCGGATCAGTCGCTGGTTCTGATTAAAGCTCGGTAAATATCAGCAGCTCTGTTCTGATTCACTGGATCTGTTCAGCCTTATGATCACAATATTAGAAACAAACAGGCTTCAGAGACAGACCCATGATGTCCAGGAAGTCTTCGGCGAGGACGGCAGGTCCTCTGTCGATGGGTTTACCGGATCCGTTGAACACGCGACCTGCAGACACACAAACTCCCGTCATCACACGACAACCTGGAGGCTTCTACTTCCTGTAAACAACCTGCTCCTGGTTCAGCCCAAACAGCGCCGTACCCAGCATGTCCTCAGACACCGGCGTCCTCAAGATGTCTCCGGTGAACTCACAGCTGGTCTTCTTGGCATCGATGCCTGCAGTCCCCTCAAACACCTGCAGAGGGCAGAGTGGAGCCACATCAGTGTAATGTTATGTTATGAAACTGGAATGAAAAGGTTCAGGAAGTTTGAATCCAGTTAAAAACAGCTCAGTGGTTTATGATGAGAGTGTGACTGAGCCTCTGGACCCTGAACCAGACCTGCAGCTGCATGAGGAACCACAGACACGGACACAAACAGAACAGACGTGTGACGGGTTTGGGTTCGATTTCGTGGAGCTCTTCAGTTTTTACCTGTTTTAAAGAATCATTGAACACGAGTTCAGGTGGAAACTTTAACTGTGTTTTACAGGATAATCAGAGAATTAAATGAGTGGAGAACGCTGAGAGAACGATCCACCTCTGAAGGTCTGACTGAGGAACATCTGTCCTGAGTCAGAACATCAACCGGTCTGAAGGTAAACCGACGACCAGCTGGTTGAGTCTGAGAACCGTCTTTAAAACCAGACTCGTACTTCAGGAGCTACGAGCTTCGACTCCAGTCTGTGTTCAACTTTCAGAACTTTGATCCAAACAGCTTCACTGAAAAGAACGTCAGCGTACCTGAACCACAGCTTTGGACCCGGTCACCTCCAGAACCTGACCGCTCCTCTTGGTTCCATCAGGCAGCGTGAGGTGGACGATCTCTGCGTAACGCGGAAACTGTTGGAGAACAGCAGGAGAACATGAGGAGAACATGAGGAGAACATGAGGACACCAGGAGAACATGAGGACGACACCA